TTTAAGTCTGCTTCTTTTTGTGAACTTTATATGTCTTTGTCGTTTACTTTTGGGGCATGAAAAGCTGGTTCGTCTAAGCTTCCGGTTCTCTCTTTTGATTTTATATTGGAGTGGCCGGATTGCTTTTGTCTTCAGGAGTTCCCACAGAGGCCCAATTCAGGTGAGGGTCAGATGTTTTCAGGCTTTCTCCTAAGGTCTGGATCCCTCCAGGAATGATTTTGGCCTCAGGAATTTGGGGGTTAGACTGGCCTGGGAGCCTGGCCCAGGAAAGATGCTGGTCTAGGGCAGCTGGTGGCCTTGCCACCCAGAGATGCAAAGGCAGATGGGGCGGGAAGAGGCCCCAAGGCCTCCTGGGGCCTGCACTGAGGAGCTGGTTTGGTCTGGATGCAAAGGATCAGGAAGAGGAAAAGGTCAGCCCCAGTGTCCCAGAAAAGAGGCCGGTAGGTAGTGCTGGCCCAGGGAAGCAGAGGGAGGTGAGGGCGGGGCCAGGCCACCTCCTGGGGCCCAGAGAAGGCACTACTTTGGTCTGGATGAAAAGGATCAGGAGCAGTATTAGTTCCCCAGGTATCTGGGGCGCCAAGACAAGGAATGGGGCGGGGCCCAAACTCGGAGAGAATGGCATTGGAGATGGGAGGGTGAATGAGGCTGGGGGAGTCAAGGCATGGAGAGCCCGATGGACTTAGCCCGCAGAGAGGCGTGTTCAACATCCTTAGCTAGCAGGAAAATGCAATTCAAGCTACTTTGAGATTCCATCTCACTGTAGCAAGAATTGCTATCATCAAAAAAAGAAAACAAAACAAAAACCAAAAAACCAATGACGAAAGACAGCAAACTCTGGAGGGTGGGGAAGAGGAATCTTTATTCAGGCTGCTGGAGTGCAAGCGGATGCAGCCACTGTGGAAATCGCAAAAGGCCAGAACCAGCTGTCCCACCTCTGGGTGTGCACCGACACGCAAAGGTCCCTGCACATCCATGTTCATTGCTGTTCACACTGTTCACAATAACTAGGACACAGAGTCAGCCTAGGTGTCCATCAATAGGCGAATGGATAGACATGCAATACCTATTAGCAGAGTTGCACTCGGCTGTAAATAAGAATGAACTCACATTTGGCAGCACCTCCAAGATATAGGCCTAGGAAAGGACTTTCTAAATCAGACACCAGCTGCTCAGGCACTAAGGTCAATAATCAATAAATGGAACCTCATTAAATTCTGTACAGCAAAAGAAACAACTAAGGAAGGGAAGAGGAAACCCAGTGAGTGGGAGAAAATCTTCACCAGATACACATCCAACAGAGGGTTAATATCCAGAATATACATAGAGCTTAAAAAACAAAGAAACAAGTCAGGTGTGGTGGCACACGCCTTTGATCCCAGCACTCCAGAGGCAGAGGCAGGTGGATCTCTGTGAGTTCAAGGCCAGTCTGGTCTACATAGTGAGTTCCAGGACAGCTGGGGCTGCAGGGAAACCCTGTCTCAAAAAGACCAAAAACAAACAAACAAACAACAAAACCCCCAAAGAAACAAGAAAATAAATGACCCAATAAAAAGATGGACAACAGACGTAAATAGAGTTCTCAAATGAAGAAATAGCACCTTAAAAAGTGCAAGAAAATGAGTGGAACTAGAAAGTATTAAGTGACATACTCAGATTCAAAAGACAAATACTGTGCTTTCTCTCACGTGGTGACTAGATTTTAATCTTTTATATATACATGTATCTGAGTGTGTGGGGGTAGGTCATGAAACTAGAAAGGGGGGAAGAGAGGTTAAGAGGGGAAGAAAAAAAGAAAAAGGAGGTACTAGGACAGGTGATGTTAAAGCAGAAGGAGTTAAGGGGGTGTCAGCACCAGCGGTGAAGGCAGGAAGACAGAGGAGGACCAAGGAGACGATACTATGAAAACACCTGTGACCAGGTGGTGTGGCACAGGCCTTTGATTCCAGCACTTGGGAGGCAGAGACAGGCAGATCCCTGTGAGTTCAAGGCTAGCCTGGTCTACATAGTGAGTTCTAGCTGGTGAGATCCTGTCTCAAAAAACAAAACCTTAGCCAGGTGTGGTGGAGCTCGCCTGTAGTCCCAGCACTTGGGAGGCAGAGACAGGCAGATCCCTGTGAGTTCAAGGCTAGCCTGGTCTACATAGTGAGTTCTAGGACAGCGGGGCTACAGGGAGACCCTGCTTCAAAAACACAAAACCAACAAAGACCGAAAGAAAAAGGAGGTACTAGGACAGGTGATGTTAAAGCAGAAGGAGTTAAGGAGGTGTCAGCACCAGCGGTGAAGGCAGGAAGACAGAGGAGGACCAAGGAGACAATACTATGAAAACACCTGTGACCAGGTGGTGTGGCACAGGCCTTTGATTCCAGCACTTGAGAGGCAGAGCAGAAGTTCGGCCTGGTCTACATAGTGAGTTCTAGGACAGCGGGGCTACAGGGAGACCCTGCTTCAAAAAGACAAAACCAACAAAGACCGTTTTTAAAGGTTAAAAACTTATTCAACTTTATGTCTTACAGGGTTTATACTCAGTTCAATATTGTGTAACTGTATTAATTCAACGGTGAACCTAAAAATTTTATAGCCACTTTTGAAAGAGATGTATCTTTGCTCTGG